CCGGGGCTCCCGCCCGCCGCCCCCCTGTAATTGCTGTGTGTCTTGCTTTTCAGAGATCTCTCTGTAGTTTGTGGACTTGCAGGATGACTTAGACCATTGTAAGTAACAGTTGGGGCGCACCTGCCCCCCGGGGGCCCGCTCGCACAAGTTGGGGTGCATAGGCTGTGGGGGCGGTGTACCCTCTTTGTGGAGTCCAGCACAGCGGGACTCTCAACTGCCACATCCCAAGTGGGGGTCCCTCATCCCTGGGGATGAGAATGGGGAGCCTCCCCACCCCAGGGGGAGAGCCCTGGGTGTAATTAGGAAACTTTTGACTTCTTGCTACTTTCTTTTTCCTCCCCCTCCTCCTCCTCCAGCTGCCCCCGAGGGGCGGGATGGAGAAGCCCAGTCCCACATCCTGAAAGAGGGGGTGCATCTCTGGGGTGCACCCTGGGGTGCTGCTGGCGCAGGCCTGGCCCTCTCCCCTCTCCCCAGGCCCCACGTGGCCCGTCACACACTTCTCCGGTGTCCTGGCCAGCAGTCCAGCCCCGGCTCTGGTCCCCAGCAACTGGTTGGCGCTCACATTAGCGAGCGGGGTTTCTTTCCTCTGCACCCCCTCTGCCCCCGCATTTCTTCTGGGTCACTTTTACGGCTGATGTCATCCTGGAAATGCAAGTTCCCCTTTATAGTGAGCTAGTGTTTCCTTTCCATGCAAACATTTCTTGAGCACGTCCTGGTGGGGCAGGCCCTGTGCTGGAGCTGGACCCACAGAGTTGGACAGCCCGGGTAGAGGTGGATGGGAGAACTGGCCGCCCTCAGGTAGCTCCCCGCTGGCAGGTGGCCGTGTAACTAGACTGTCACCAAACCCTGGGGCTTCCCATGGGCCAGGTGCAGACTTCCTTCTTCCTGCTCCCTGTCCACAGTTTCCTCAGAGTAAGAAAGCAATGGAAACCAAGCCCCCTGTGGTCCAGGCTGCTTTGACTCACCCTGCAATGGTTAGTGTTGAACACTCACTAGGCCGACTCCTTGTCCCGTGGTCTTTTAGAGGGAACGCTTTGTTAGACCTGGAGTGACATTGAAGAGGCCTTGGTGTTGGTCTCAACCCGTGGCTGTCAAGTCGGAACTTACTCATGGCCAACCCTCCAGCGGGTTTCCAGAGGCTAGAAAATTCCTCAGGAGGAGATTGCCCGTCTTTCTCCAGTGTAGACGCTGGTGGGTTCGAACCGCCCGGGCAGGATCACCTTTCGGTTACAGCCTCACTGCTTAGGGCCTGCACCACCAGGGTTTCCCAGTGTGCTCGGGAGGTGCTGACAGGTCTGTGTCTGCTCAGCTGTTTCTACCTTTATGTACCGTCACAGCCGCGCCGTGGTCAGAGGCCCTGCAGGCCGTTCACATCCACTAGCTGCTCCGTGGGAGAGAGATGGGCAGTCTCCTCCTGTGTGATTTACAGCTTCCACAGACCCTCTGGAGGATCAGCCCTGTGTCAGTTCTGACACGATGGCAGTGAGTTTGAGTTTCGCGTGTTCCGTAAGGATTGTTCTGTGCTGGTGAGTCAGAAATGACTCACAGCTGACCCTCCAGCGGGTTGACAGCCTGGCTTGGTACCGCCAAGCACCAGAGCTCGTAAGATGCCCTGTCCCATTCACCTTCCGCTTTCTTCTTCTTTTTTTTTAATGTAGTACTTTGGATATGTTGTAAGGAGGGACTGGTCCTTGGAGAGGGATGCCATGCTTGGGAGGGTGGAGGGACAGCGCAGGAGGGAAAGACCCTCTATGAGGTGGATTGATTTGGTGACTGGGGTAATCGGGATGGGCGTGTCAGAGACAGTGTGATTGGCACAAGACAGAGCAGAGTTTAGGGCTGTTGTACATAGGGTCGCTATGAGCGACTCTATGGCACACAACAACAACAATTTCGTTTTAATTTTACTCTGATTTATTTACAAAGTTTGAATGCATTGTTTTTCACGAAAGATCCTTCCCATTTCCTTCACCCCACCCACCCATCGTATTGTGCAACTCTATGATTAACACCCTACCCCCCATCCTCACCCTTCTATTTCCACCCTTCCCCACCACTACCTTGGGTCCTCATACTCATGCTACAGTAATGGTTTTATACAGTATTTGTCCTTGTGGGACTGACTTAGTTCACTCAGCATAATGCTCTCCAGTCCCTCCCAAGTTAGGGAGTAATTTACAAAATGATTGCTCCTGCGTGCTGTGTAGTATTCCCCTGTATGAATGTACCACAACTTCTCAATCCATTCGTTTGTGGTTGGGCATCTAGGCTGCTTCCATGTTCTTGTGATGGTGAATAATGCTGCTCTGAACACTGGTGTGCAAGTTTCCGTTTGAGCCTCAGTTCTTATTTTCTTGGGGTATATTCCAAGCAGTGGAATAGCTGGGTCATATGGAATTTCTATGTTCAGCTTTTTGAGGAAGCGCCAAACTGCCTTCCAGAGTGTTTGTACCATTCTACAATCCCACCAACAATGTAAAAGAGTTCATATCACACCACATCCTCTCCAATATTTGTTAATTCCTATCCCTGTTAAACTTTGCCACTGCTACTGGAGTGAGATGGTATCTCATTGTGGTTTTGATTTGCATCTCTTATTGCCAGTGATTGGGAGCATTTTGTCTGTTGACCATTTGAATACCTTCCTCTGTGAAAATTCTTGCATGTCTTTTGCACGTTTGGTAATTGGGTTATCAGACTTTTTCTTGTGGAGGCCCAGGGATATTCTATACACTTTCGCTATGAGACTCCTGTCTGAGATGAGGTCTTCCTCTTTTTTGGTGCTCCTTCATTCAGGCAGGTAGAGCCTGATAAGGAACTGTACCTTCTTGATAACATGCCCAGTTCACGTGTGAGGAAACCTCACCATCTTTGCTTTCAGGGAGGATTCGTGCTGTACATTTCCCAACACATATCTGCTTCTGATAGTTAAGAACATGAGATCTGGAGTCGCTGGCCATGGGTGAAGTCCAGCACTGGACGAGTCACTACTGCTCTGAGCCTCTTCTATAACTGGTCGTAATACAGCCACACTTCAGAGATTGATCTGATTCTGCTCCAGACTACAACAGAGCTGTAAACAGAGCAGAGTTCACGGTGGTAAAGGAGGCCACACAGAAGCTTTGGTTTACGCGTGCATATGCTCCTTGGAGGCAAAGGTGGCAGAGCTTTGTCTTTCATACTTTGGACATCTAGGTAGGTGAGGCTGTTTCTTGCAAAGGAACATCATGCTTGGGAAGATGGAGGGTCAGTGAAAAAGAGGAAGACCTTCAACGAGACGACTGCAGCAGTGGGCTCACGTGTGTCAGAGATGGAGCGGACGCCAGAGGCCAGGGCAGGGCTCAGGTCGGCTGTTCGTAGGGTCACTCTGAGTCGCCCTCTACTACAGCATCTAACAGCAACAACAGCATGCATGTAAAATTACATTTATGCCTCAGTTCAGGGATGATGCGAGGTCACAGTAAAGAAGTATGAACGGTGAGAGTGACCGATACGTGACTCAGATGCAAAGCCGGCTTGTGCTGTTGGAGAAATGCTACCGCTAGACTTGCTGGATGCAGGGCTGCTAGAAACCTTTAACTTGTAAAAAGTGATAACGCTTTATTTTTTATTTGCAAATTCTGATAAAGCAAAGAGTGATAAGCTGTGGCCAGCCTCAACTGGCCCGCCTCAAAAAGCTTTTGTGAAGGTTAAATTAATAAAGAAAAGGTTTAGCACAAAGCCTTGTACAAAACCAACATGAGATAAGTATCACTTAAGTGTTCATTGTTATTAACATGATCATTTAGTGCACGCTGAAGGATCCCTTGGTCTTGGTTATTAAGAGCTTGGATGTAAACCAAAAGGTTGGTGGTTCGAACCCACCAGCCACTACATGGAAGCTAGACCTTACTTCCGTAAGGATTCGGGCAGATCTGTGGCCTAGTGGTTAAGGAGTTGCTCTGTCAACCCACGGGCAGGCAGTTCTAATCCGCTAGCTGTTCCATGGGAGAAAGATTGGTAGTCTCCTCCTGTGTGATTTACAGCTTTGAGAAACGCTCTGGGGGTCAGCCGTGAGTTAGTTCTGACTCGATAGCAGTGAGTTTGAGTTTTTCCATAAGGATTGTTGTTACGTACCGTTGAGTGAGAACTGACTCATAGCTGACCCTCCCGCAGGTTGGCAGCGCTGTCCCTTACCACCAAGGGTTGCAGCCTGGGGGACCCCCCAGGAAAGCTCCCCAGGGTTTCTCTGAGTTGGAATCATCTTCACCAGTGGCTTTGGTTTGGTGGTGTGGAGCCTGGTACAGTGGAGGCATCCTGTTGTCAGCTGACTGTCTCAGGCAGCTGCTGCACTTGGACATGAAGCTGTATAGCTTTCTCACTGATAAATACACGGCACTGCCCTCAGAGGTCTGATATTTGATAGCTGGCCTG